GGCTGCTAAAGCTGCGACGTGAGTTGATCGGTGCACTTAACCAGTTTCCCGGCCGACACTCCTGCCTCACCCGTTAAAATTGATAATTGATTTCAAACATATAATTTGATATGAATTCCGTAACATACAGAGTGGGCTAGGTAAATTGTCGCCATTTTATATATTTTAATTTCGTGCATGCGCGTTCTTTGTTTTTGATTTTGCCGACAGCAGAGTATAATAGGCACGGTTGGGGCACTGTCAATGAGAAAAAGATCTCCATGAAGGAATTTATTACGGCCGAAATTTGGAAACGTTATACTGTACTGCTTAATATTCACGCCGGAAGCTCCAATACAAACATTTCAATCTGAGGACTGTGCAGAGGATTCGGAAAGAGTTGGTTGAGTGTAATGGTGATTACGAAGCTACAGAAAACTCACAAAGACGTATTGCTGATATTAAAACCTATGTTTATACTTTCACAGTGTTTTTAATCCAGTTTGGGGTTTAACTATTTGCCCATAGCTGGGACCCTAACAGGTGCTACCACCCCAGGTCAGGATGGACCTGGGAACATCAGCAATTAAGAGGTAATTCCACGCTCCTCAAAACTTCCAGATCAGAGGCCTTACTTTTGGATGTAGTTTATCGTCATACCTAGGACGCGGATGTAGTTTATCGTCATACCTAGGACGGTATAACCTTGTAAGTATTATCTTCATGAGTAATACGCCAACAGAATAATTTGCATGACTCGAACTTCGCCGATAAATCGACTAAGCGTGTGACTGATGAAACCAACAACCGGATAAGTCGAATCTACTTTTATATATGGTGATTTTCTAAGCTTAGGTGTGTGTTATGGTCCAATATCCTTGCACCACAGTTAGGGTCCAAGGTTAGAACCAAGGAAGAACAACACAAACACTAGAGTAGAATAACAAAGACATATTACAACAGAAATATAGTACAAGAAGTTGAAGGTGTTAGTAATGACTGTCCGTCTGGTTTAGAGTGAACTAATATTGTCTTGATTCGTTACACCAGGCGCAGTATCTATAGTGTCAGGAAGAGTCCATTATCGTTATAGGTAAGTTCCCATAACACTGTGGCACAAGGCCGAAAGTATGGAGCAACTAGTCAGGATCGAATTCATTATTCATTAGTAATTGATTTAGTGAGACAAGCTTGCTAACCATTGCACCATGCCGAATGCCCAAGATAATTTAGCATGCGAAGTTTAGTTGTGGCACAAGGCCGAAAGTTTGGAGCCCCCACTGAGGATTGAACTCACTACTCAATAGTAATTGATCTAGTGATATAGGCTCTTCAGCCATTACAAAATTGTGAAGTGACCAGCTACATTTATATATGGAAACATTCAGATATACATAAAAACATATCTGTAAAAATATCTATATATATATATATATATATATATATATGAATAGGCAGAAATTCACTTTTGCCAACAGACCACAATGAAGTCCGAGTCTCACTAAGAAATACAGAAAACGAACAATGAGGCATTAAAAGAACGTAAGGAAAATTTATTCCTTTTAAAAATTTATTCCTTTTATTTGCCTGAAGAAAGTCCCCTTACCGGAAACCCGTGTAGCAGAAACATGAAGAATAATATTTGATATATATACTAAAACAAATCCACATTATAACCAAAATGTTTGCGGTTTCTCTCTTTTTAAAATATGCATTTTTCCCAATATGCATCCCAACTGTAACCATTTCCATTTATATATATATATATATATATATATATATATATATATATATATATAGATAGAGAGAGAGAGAGAGAGAGAGAGAGAGAGAGGGTCTGCTCTGCTTTTGTATTGAGCACTTTTTAGTTAGTTGATTACTCGTATCGGGTTTTTTTTTTGGGGGGCTTTGGACCTGTATGCTGTACGATTATTTTCGACATACGTTCATGTTCCTAGCTCTTTCTTTTTTTTTAAAACGTTTTTTCCTTCGAAATTGATTTGATCATTAGCAAATCAAGAAACCGAAGGTTTTCGAGACGAGGTGTAGTTATATATATATATATATATATATATATATATATATATATATAAAAGTGAACATAAAGTCAACACTTAGAGGCGACAGTCTGTTTCATGCTAGATGCAATCGTCAGGCCACCTGAGCATGAAACAGACTATCGCCTCTAAGTGTTGACTTTATGTTCACTTTTATATTTTACACGCTCTATCTCTGATATCGAGTACTTTATCCCATAAATATAGCACACCTTAAGACTATATTTCTTCATATATATATATATATATATATATATATGTGTGTGTGTGTGTGTGTGTGTGTGTGTGTGTGTGTGTGTATCTGTGTGTGTCTGTGTGGGTAAGAGAGAGATAGAGAGTGTTGTGGTGTCCTCCCTCTAAAAAGTCTATGTTGGACTCTTCCGCCTACTATAAGATTAGTAGGTGAGAAGGCCTTCAGGGAACAGTCGAATAGATTGAACGTTGGGTCAACCGACACACACTCACTAGTCGTGTAACACTCTTCTGTTGTACTTACTGTTTAATATATGATATATCTGCGACACTTGTTTTGTTATTTCTTTAACTATTCATTTGGTCACAACAGAGAGAGAGTACGGTTTAATGTTTTAAATATTTTAGGATATTTACTCAGATCATATCGATATAGCCTCGAAATCGGACCCTCGTCCTACAAATCTACTTTTCAATACACGGTATTCATTTTACTTCATCCCGAAATCAAGGATAAAGACCTTTTAAGTTGAAAATATACGGCTGCTGGACATGTCGAATGGTCAAACAGTGAAATTGTAATTAAATGAGAAAATGATAGTCGCTGGACACTTCTTTTCCGTCTCTTCAACGTGATGATATCAAATCAGAAGAATCCTCGAAAGGGGTAATTTTGTTTTACAGTGAGGTTCACTCTGTACAAGGCCCGCGAACCACTCCAGGTAGAAGGATACAGAGTTAACGACACAGTTTATGCGTTAACGTTTAATCCTCGACTTGAACTGGTTAAGATTGAAGTGATCAGGAAAACATCTAACTGGGATTCGGTTCTACAGAGCAACGATTTGCTGGAAGGAGCTGCTCGAGGGGAACGTACATCTCACTAATAGAATACGAATGGAAGGACGGGGGTTCGCCACAATGAGGGTAGAATGGCGAGTCTTAGCCGTGAAGATTAGGACTGGTGGAAATAAGGAATGTAGTTCATCTGAGTACTTTCCATGGAAATAGCGATAGATTAGCGACAGGCTTACGATGTTTCATCTTTGAGAAAGGGATAGCAATATGGAAATTGAAGACTGTGTAGCTCCAGACCATATATGGCAACAGTAGTCGATTTACAGCCTAATGTGGCTCTTGTAAAAGTAGAGGATATAAGGAAGAGTCATGTCCTAGCTGTGAAGGTTAAAACTTGTGGAACTAAGGAATGTAGTTCATCTGATCACTTTCCATGGAAATAGCGAGAGAGTAGCGAGAGGTTTGCGATGTTTCATCTATGAGAAAGAGATAGCAATATGGAAATTGAAGATTGGGTAGCTCCAGAACATATATGGCAACAGTAGTCGATTTACAGCCTGATCTGGCTCTTGTAAAAGTAGAGGAAAGAAGGAACAATCATGTCCTAGCTATGAAGTTTAAAACTGATGGAACTAAGGAATGTAGTTCATCTGATCACTTTCCATGGAAATAGCGAGAGAGTAGCCAGAGGTTTGCAATGTTTCATCTATGAGAAAGAGATAGCAATATGGAAATTGAAGACTGCGTAGCTCCAGACCATATATGGCAACAGTAGTCGATTTACAGCCGGATCTGGCTCTTGTAAAAGTAGAGGATAGAAGGAACAGTCATGTCCTAGCTGTGAAGGTTAAGACTGATGGAACTAAGGAATGTAGTTCATCTGATCACTTTCCATGGAAATAGCGAGAGAGTAGCCAGAGGTTTGCAATGTTTCATCTATGAGAAAGAGATAGCAATATGGAAATTGAAGACTGCGTAACTCCAGACCATATATGGCAACAGTAGTCGATTTACAGCCGGATCTGGCTCTTGTAAAAGTAGAGGATAGAAGGAACAGTCAGGTCCTAGCTGTGAAGGTTAAGACTGATGGAACTAAGGAATGTAGTTCATCTGATCACTTTCCATGGAAATAGCGAGAGAGTAGCCAGAGGTTTGCAATGTTTCATCTATGAGAAAGAGATAGCAATATGGAAATTGAAGACTGCGTAGCTCCAGACCATATATGGCAACAGTAGTCGATTTACAGCCGGATCTGGCTCTTGTAAAAGTAGAGGATATAAGGAACAGTCAGGTCCTAGCTGTGAAGGTTAAAACTGATGGAACTAAGGAATGTAGTTCATCTGATCACTTTCCATGGAAATAGCGAGAGAGTAGCCAGAGGTTTGCAATGTTTCATCTATGAGAAAGAGATAGCAATATGGAAATTGAAGACTGCGTAGCTCCAGACCATATATGGCAACAGTAGTCGATTTACAGCCGGATCTGGCTCTTGTAAAAGTAGAGGATAGAAGGAACAGTCAGGTCCTAGTTGTGAAGGTTAAGACTGATGGAACTAAGGAATGTAGTTCATCTGATCACTTTCCATGGAAATAGCGAGAGATTAGCCAGAGGTTTGCAATGTCTCATCTATGAGAAAGAGATAGCAATATGGAAATTGAAGACTGCGTAGCTCCAGACCATATATGGCAACAGTAGTCGATTTACAGCCGGATCTGGCTCTTGTAAAAGTAGAGGATAGAAGGAACAGTCAGGTCCTAGCTGTGAAGGTTAAAACTGATGGAACTAAGGAATGTAGTTCATCTGATCACTTTCCATGGAAATAGCGAGAGATTAGCCAGAGGTTTGCAATGTCTCATCTATGAGAAAGAGATAGCAATATGGAAATTGAAGACTGCGTAGCTCCAGACCATATATGGCAACAGTAGTCGATTTACAGCCGGATCTGGCTCTTGTAAAAGTAGAGGATAGAAGGAA